GTTGAACACGCACAAAAAATATTTACTGCATTCTGAGCATGAAATTAGACAATGATGCAAACATAATCCCTTAGAAAAGTTGAATTTACCGAATAATATCATATCTGGAAATGTTAGAGAAACCTTTTGTGTATAAATGAAAACTTTCATGAGCGTAAAACATGCCGTCTTCGGCTTCGCTTTCAATGCGTTTTTGTTGCGTTTTTGTCGTTCTGCGTTGCGAAAACTTACGGAAAACGCTAAGAAAACGTATGTGTGAAAAGCGTCCCTACCAATACCTTTTAGAATTTGTTTGCATCGAGTAAGTATTATTTGTTCTTAGGCAAAGTTTGAAGGAAAAACAGCAGAAAAAAACGTATGATAAAAACTGACGTCTCAAGTGCAATCATTTGGTGAATATTTTGAAGTGTCGACGGGTATAAGTACCTAACGAGAACCGTGAGAAATACCAATAAAATTAGATAAGAACTTGCGAAGAATACAAAAAGCAATTCATGTTTTTTTCACCTTGGTGAATAAGTAGTTGAATTTATATTGCCAGTAATTGCAAAAAATACAAGAAAATTAACAATCAAACTCGAATTATAGTGGAATATTACTGTGGTGTAGAGTTTAATTTGATATAATTTGCATTTTTATTGAAACAATTTTGTAATCTATGGACGCACAAGTAGGACGGATGAGCACACGCGCATTTCAAACTAGAAAGAAGTGACTTCTTTCATGCATTTTTTTAGTTGTCTCGTATATGAATCTACGACTAAAGATAATAGATAAGCATAAACATTTCTTGGAAAACATGCTCTTGTACGCTGCGTGGGTTTAATAAAACGTTGAAACAAAAGCCTTCTAAGTTTAGATGAATCTTCCAGAATTTTCACAACTTTTTCCAAAACGATCATAACAATTGTAGGCGACTTCAGATCTCGCAAGTACAGTTTTGAAGCAGTTAAGAAACCACAGTCTGTTGTAGCTAGAATTCCACTTTTTTTAGTCATTGTGATTTATATGTGAACTCTGATTAATACCATAAGTAACCTCATTAGCTTTTTTTTTTTATTTTCTTCGAGACTATTCAGTTACGAAACAAAAGACTTGACAAGCATGTGCGCGCGACCACTAGTCTATGCCTGCAAGCAATTTACAGAGAAAAAACACTTCTTTTCACTCAGCTATCTTTCTTTGTAGGTAGCTAGTGAACTCGTGCAATTAGAAGGCGTCTTTTGGTCTCACAACAATTAATCTTCAATAACTCTACCTTAGGCATACCAATTTACAGAGCAGTATCACATTACTCAAACAACAATAAGGGGTGAATATTGGGCGGTAACATTATCAAAACAACTTTTGAATGTGACTGAAAAAGTCGCTCAAGTGAAAACAATATAACGCGCCGCAAACTGYCATAATCAGCGGTAATCGTTGTAGGGAAGATTGAATAAGTCTCCAACCAGTGCATCTAACAAAKCTGTGTTCTAATATCTGGTGTTGTTKTGAKTATAATCCGGTTCGTATCTATTGTAAGTGCAATGAGACTKTGCCCTCCAGAGACAAAACCTACTATACCAGTGTTTGTAAACATCTAAATTAGTGATTAGTACTATGAAAGTAACGCTAATTATACGATACGAAGKATTTTACACAAATTGATGAACCTAACCCTCATTGTAAAAGATATCCYGAAAAATTGGGCGCGATATGAATTCCTGAAGCGCACTCTAGTTCTTATGTTATACTGTTATCATTATATTTTTTTATTATATAGATGATTTCTAACGCGCGCTCTGATTGGCCAAAAAGTGTGGYTTATGAGAGTATAAACCACGATTGTGCGCGAGCGATTTTTGAAGACRGCAACAAATGGATTTTTGCTTATAAGTCTCAGCCTGTGTTATTRAATATTACATCATATATACGTGTTCTGTCCATTTCTCGGTATATTGTGGATGGAAGTTAGGAAGTTTACAAGAAAAAGCAAAATAAAATTGTAAAAAGTCGTTTGYCGCCTTGATGTAGGCCCTCTAAGGTATAGATAACATTAGGTTTTCGCCATTTATTAGATTTCGCTTATTTCTTGCACGAGCCTACTATAAAAGACCTTCACATATGGAATTTCTAGAACAGGACCAAGTATTAATAAGGGCGTGGTMCCTGCGTTTATTGATCGAAAGGTCAAGATATCCGTATAGTATAAAAACAATAGAGGAATATTTGCTTTTCGTTAGTAACAAATAGTTCTGGAGGGAGAAAAATAAATCCGTTGTTTTTGCGAGGTCATCAAAGTCAGGAAATATAATCCAAGGTGTTGATTTAAAATTTTCAATGTTTACTGAGGATACAATTTTACACTTATAATTACAGAAAATCGAACTAATATTTACACAAATATTAATAAAATTAAAATCCAACACTTTATAAAGGTTTACAAATGTGAATGCATGTTCTTTTGATGGAAGTTAATTATAACTACCATTACTTGCGGTTTTAAGCCTCACTAGCGACGCAAGAGCAAGTTTGATTCTGCATTTGTATTTGCGTCTCTAGTGAAAACCACGTTTTATTCCTACAAGGTAAAATTCAACATTTTACTCTGCATTGAGTATCCTACTACTATATTTACATGCTATTAGCTAAAATTCAACACCCTGAAGTTTCACAAATTGACTAACAATCGGATCATAAATCCGTGAAACACAATTGAATGTATTTACTTCTGTGAAACTTCGAGACACAAAACCAAGGCTTCGGCGTAAGACTAAAATGCATAAAAAACGTCCCCTTTCACTGTTTTCTTTGTCCCTAATTGACTATTACAACTTCCTTATTTATTTTTGTTTCACAGGTTGATATATTTTTATATGACTACTAGTTGTTAATTTGTCTTGTGTGTATAACATTCTGTTTCACAGTTTTAAGGGTGATTATTTTCACTTTGGTTTGAATCTGAGCGACTATGTTTCACGGGTTGATGAAAGCAACACTATCTATCATTCTAAAATACAATTTTCTTCACAATTTTCACATCGGCGTAGCTTAACATCACGGCTGTTCCAAAAGCAACTCGAATCAGGCAGTCGTGTTCTTTTTAAGCTTTGGCGCTGTAAAACTTTTYAAGAAGGCACTTAAAGATGCCGGCATTGCTCCATTAGACTTCTTTCCTCGTGAGATTGTCGTGTTCATAAAAGATTCCTACAAGACACACAAAGGATGTTATTTTGCTATTTTTGTCTGACCTCCTTCCATCGATATTTCCTGTATCGCCTATGCTTTTGTATCATTAGCAAGACCCTTGGCCTTTCTACTGTAAGTCTCATTCTTCCGGATATTTTGAAAAACATAAATTTTCCGTTCATTTGGGCCTTCCGTTCTCGTAAACGATGCTTTGGTCCACTTAGATGATAGTGAAACCGTATCAATGTTAATTGTAGGATTTCGATTTCTTTGCTCCTGGAGCCTCAACAGTTTATCAGCGTCGTTTGTTTGTTTCTTGTTTGAGTTGTGTGAAGGGAAAGAAATGTTTGAATAGTTTTTTGTTACATTAAATCCGCATATTTGACTATCAAACAWGGTCTGAATTTGGTAGGGAACTTCCTGTAACTAGCTTTCACAGGCTATCATTTGCTAAGGGTTAAAAAACTACCATTTCTAAACAGTAGGCTGGTTTCGTGAGGACKTGCAATTGAATCTTGAGCGATGTTTCCGTGAGAGACAGATATATCATATGTCTATATATGTTTTTGGAGTCAACGTTTCAACAATTTTCACACCCTCTATTCCGCATTCCCTCAATTTGACACGACAGTATTAGAATAATGATGAAAATTTACCAACAAAAGCCACTATTGCAGCTTATTATCAGTATATTTCACAGTTTTCGTATATTTCGACGTGTGCGAAAACTGATCAACAAATTTATTACTGGCGAAGATAAAAATGGTAAAATAGACATCAAAATGGACGGCTATATTAGATGCACTGTATTTATATCAAGAAAGGTAACAGCGTAAGCTGTTCATCTCGCTATTAGTATATTCTGAGTTGCGGAATTGCGAAATTTCGAGCGGAATTGCGAAATTTCGAGCGGAATTGCGAAAGCAATTTTTTTAATGTGCAATGATATGCGAATATTATCCCTTATAAAATATATGTTGTAGTTTAAAATTACCTGTAATGGAAGCATTGATATCATCAAAGAATTGTCCGCCTTGGAGTTGTAAAGCGTTCGTCTCTTGGTACCATTTAGAACACTGGACACATCTGAAGCACTGGATTGTCGGATACTCATCGATGGTCGATATAMTGGGGGTTTGGTTTTATTCAATGCACTGGACATATCCAAGGCGGTCGATTGTCGGATACTCGTTGATGGTCGATATAACGGGTGCTTTGTAAGTATGCTGTTGAAGGAATAGATGTTAGCGAAGTCAAACAGAACCAGTTTTAATCTAAGGGTGTGGTGTATTCTAGAGTTCATGACTAAGTCTTGTTATGGGCTCTGAGTCCACTAGTGTCTTTTAACATAGGAAATCTGATTTAACAGTCCGTTAGATCGATGGTTAGGCAAATGGATGAGAAAGATAATATGCTACAAAATGTAATCTATGAAGAGAAGCAATAAAACCGGGTTATACAGCAAAGAGAAGTACGCCCTGTTATATATGAAATCGTATTAATTTACAACTATACCACAACACCAACCACTGAGCTGTGAATACCCATCTAATCGCTAATAGTAGTTTTAAAGTTATTGTTCTTTGGTAGAATAAGAAACTAGGAAACAAAGCTGGATTTCAGTCTAGTTGGCGCCAAGACTGGCTGTGCTGCACGGTATGATRTAAGACGACATTTGTACATAGCATGCTGAYAGACCCTGTGAACGTCTARCAGATCGCAAAGCTCCCAGCACTATAATGCCTTTATAATGGCCTGTTGCGGACATTGAAAGCATACTCAACCATGGTMCTTTTTCCTCGTTTCTATGTACAATATAATGCTTTTTTTTACTTTCGTTGTGTATTCAATGACGCATYGGCATTTTTGGTTTGTAAGATATTGTCGTTCAGCGAATTTATTGCATACAATAATTATATTACATATTTGCAGTTTTATTAATTTAAGTTGGTGTTTTGTTGTCTTTTGAATTTRCCGTTTAAATAAATTCAACTCACCTTTTATTTCGTGGGGCATTTTTCTCTTTAAGAGATCCATTAGCTTGGTTTTGATGATTTTCAACATCTTTTCCCGTGTAATCTACTGATTTCGTGACTGTTTCCTGGAAATTCATTGATTTCGATTGGTTTTCCGCATCACTTTTTTCCTTTTGTAGAGACTTTTGTAGATTCTCATTCTCGTTTGATAAACTTGTTTTAGTTTTCTTGGCAGGCGAAGAGTCACTTGAYATCTCATCTGGGTCAGGATGTTCTTTTCTTTTACGAACTGTCTTTTGTGTTTCGCTGTTATCTGAAACTTTACTTTGTTGCTGGCTGCCTGGATTCTCTGTGTCTTCTTCCATGATTTCATCATTTGMAGGAACTTCTTCAGGGATATTSTCTTTTGKTGCTTTGGCTGTTTTCTTTCCTCTTTTCTYAGAAYTTTTYCCTTCGTTTGAGGGCTTTATAAACTCAGTTGAYTGACATGGCATTGTCTGTTCATCCCTATTCGATGTTTCAGCACCTATCTTCCCTTCTTCAGCTTTACTTTTCCKTTTTTTTCTTTGGYGTTTGCCTTTTTCATTCAAWGATTTCTCAACTTGTTTTACTTGTTTATGGCCTGAAGATATAGTTGTAGGTGCTTTACTTTCAAGATGTTTTTTAGTTTTCTGACATTCATTTAGCTGGCTTTCTTCTCTATCATCTTGATATTGGTCATCGATTGCTTCATCATCAACATTTTGTTGATTTTGCTTTGGTTGACTTGTGCTTTTGCCTTTTTTAACGGYTTTACCAGGATTGTTTGTTTCTTTTTGCTCTCTCCTTGTCATAGGGGCTTGTKTCTCTGTTGGGGATTCAATTGTTTGCTTATCTGTTTCCTCTTCAACTTCACATGAAGACATAGCACTTTCTCTTGTTGATTCTGGGAGGAATTCCTTTTCCACCTGAGTCCCATTTTCACAACTCTTGATACAAGCAAGGACTCCTTTACTATGTGTTTTGCAGACTTGTGTTTGAGTGGACTTAACCTAATACATTACAAAGCAAAACAACAATTTTCAATTAACTTAGTCGTTCTTATTAAGTAAACAATACAGAAAATTCTGCTTTACCTTAGTTGTAACATTCTTTGATGACAGTTGTGCGTTTAGATTTTCTATTTCGGCCARGGCTTTTGCATGCTTTTCCTACACAAATATACAGTATGGAACAATAAAACCGCTTTTTGGARCRACAAGGTGCCTTTTACACATGTTAATTATGTGTACCAATGACTCAAATATAAAGAATCACCCCWMTTACCTTCCATTCTTGYAGTTCATGAGTCAATTGACACTTTTCCTCGGTAGATTTTTYCACTTGTTGGATGAGTTTTTCATCTGTCTCTGTCTTAAGAGTTCTTCTTATCATTTTAATCTCTTCTTCCATATTTTCCTAAGACAATAATCAAAAAATACATGCTTGTTGACTTTCAAAAACAATGACAACAAAAAACGTACCAAAACTTTTACCTTCGCAAGCACATTTTTTGTATTTTCTGCTTTCAGTTCTTCTATCACTTTTTCTGCTTTTTCGTGTTTTTCCTGCAAGTAGATGATGTAAATTTAGACATYAAATTAGTTCTTATCATCTTCATCATTATCAGATAAACTCTTTCACATCTGTTCCCACTGTAACAAGTGCTATGAAGATAATAGTGTTGCTTTTTATGTCTTATATCAACACAAGAAATGAATACTGAGTCTATTATTATATACTCTTCTTTTTAGTTTAAACCCGGCAGTATCACTACCAAGCTTGACTAAAGTTCTTTGCACTCACTCACCTTCCAAGTACTAACATCTTTAAAGAGTTGCTCCTTTATTTTTTCATGTTGTTCTTGTTGTTTGTTRATCTTCTGATCTCCCTCAGATAGCAGCCTTCTTTCCACTTCCTTTATTTCCAATTGCATCTTATTGTTCGTTTCCTATATAATGCCAAGTTGTTTTATTCAACAGATAAAGGAGGGAAAAGTGTTGTATGGACCTTCACCCCCCGTCCCCTCCCCCCTTATCACCTGTATCGTCTCACCTTCAAATGTGTTATTTCCTTTTCAAGCGCATCTTTTTCTTGTTTGTAGTTGTYTTCAAGGTCAGCAATTTTCTCTTCTGACTGGGCCTTAATTCTTACTTCAATTGCCTTCTTGTCCTCCTCCCCTTTCTCTTTTGTTGTCTATTTAGAAAATGTATGATCGCAATAAGCTTATATCTAGTCTCTTTACAATTACTAGGTACTATAACTTAATAAATATCATTCAGAACTTTATTTTAGACWATAACCATCAATGTGAGACCAAATAACTTACTTTGATTTCATGATTTGCTTCTTCGATCGTCCGTTTTAGTTTACAAACATTTCTTGACTGTTGATAAAGTTTTTCTTCGTTCAACAAAAGATCAAGCTCACGTTTCCACTTTTGACATGCCAAAGTATCTTGATTGACCAATAATTTAGTATTTTCATACTGGGATTCAAGCAGTTTTAGCTTCGATTGCCATAATTCACAAGACACAGATTCGACAACAATGTCCGCCATTTTGAAAGAAAATATTTGAAATCCCCGCTTCAGTTGTGCTAACAATCTTATCTTGTATTTGATTGGTTACTTGCACTCAAAGATTCTTTCATTGACGACATTGATTGGTTCTTTGTTGGCGGATCTAAGGAACATTGTGATTGGTCAAATTGAGAGGTCGTCCCAAACAGTAGAAAGCACTATAAAATGCAGAGATCTCTTCAAGGTTTTTCCATTTTTCTCGGCATTGTTTTATRCAATGTCTGTGTTGTTCGGTGTCTTGATAATGGTGTTGCTTTGACTCCACCAAGTAAGTTTTTTGACTTTAAATTTTGATMTTTCTTCACCTTGGGTCCTTCCACGATCGGTCACATGATTCGCGCATGATTTTACAWTGGAKATTCTTAATACATCTGTTTTAAAAACAAAACTACCAAAAGGCTCTTCTCGAGTTTTGGTAAAAGAGGAGAAAAATGCTYTTAACTTTAATTAACTTCTTGTAAGAACATGATCAATGACACTCTGTCCTCGCCACAGGGAGCCCAGCAATTGTCAAGATTTAGATGCATACTTCTGCATACTTCAATTCCTGTAATAATATGATGTAATTTCTTTTTCCTTAGTGGGTTGGATGCAATGGGAACGTTTCCGTTGCAACATAGACTGCAAAAATGATCCAGCCAACTGCATAGGGTACGCTAAGAATTATTATTAAGATATCTGTGTGTTATATATTGTTTATTGTAATTTTATTCTTATAAATTTGATTTTACCAACTTACACCTAAAGTTRTCTTCATTTTTTTCACTTTTTTCTTTGCTTTCCCTTTACTATTTCCCCTTCCATTTCTTCTACCCCATAACTTTTTATCAAGTTCTATTTCCTCATTATTAGAAATAACTGATAAAACTGARATCATGAAATAGTGATAATATATTGATGTTAAAAGTTATGCTTTTGTGTGTTCAAGTGAGAAGCTTTTCATGAACATGGCAGACAAAATGGTAGAAGATGGCTACAGAGATGCTGGATATGAGTATGTCTCYATTGACGTGAGTAACAGCTAAACCTTTCTTTCCTATTTGAGATCATAAAATGATGTTACTTTTTAAAATAAGCATACAATATGCATGTCTGTTATAGGATTGCTGGGCATCACAYAACAGAACTTCAAGCGGAGAGCTTCARCCAGATCCCATCAGATTTCCAAGTGGAATACCAGCYTTAGCAAAATATGTAAGACATAAAAAGGTCTTTTCAAAACCATTATAAAGTTCTTATAAATTCCATGTTGTGCATTTTTTTTTTCTCTTTTTACTTTATCATACATGCGCTGTGTACAAGTGCAGTAGACATTATTTGATCAAATGTCTTCAGTGTATGAAAGTTATGTGTATCAGTRATACCCACTTTCTGTAATGTACCTATCAATGTCTTGCCCCAACTGGAGGAGTGCAGGGGCATACATGGGCTATTGGAAATAAAATGTCACTCGTGACTGGGGCAACTTGACTTTTATTAAAACAGGGTTTCCCCCTGGGTAGGGTTTATTGACATTTTGATCGAGGAGGATTGGAGCTGCAAATGTTGTAAAATAGTGGAAAGGCGGCAAGAGGTTGCGAAGAAGGCAAGGTTCTTCAAGTATAAATGATGTCACCATGTGTGAAAGAATATTGATACACACAGTTATGATTTTCACAAAATCTATCACACCCTGTGGTTTTACCGGTAAAAAAAATTGAACAACCTAATGAAATATAGTTGAGGCTTTGAGAAATTTTCAGATCTAAAAAACTTTTCACTCAGTTACAGTTACAATAGGGGTATTTGACAAATATTGACATGAACATAAACCCCCAAAAATGTCAATAGACCTTGGGTATGCCTGCACTGCCCCCGTTTGAGCAAGACATTGATAGGTGCATAACTATGAGCAATGTCTTTAGATTCACGACAGAGGGCTGAAGTTTGGTATTTATGGAGGTAAGTACCTCAACTTATCTTCTTAGATGACATTCATTTTTATCAGCATAATTGCTGAAATATTGAACATTGTTTGTATATTGACAATAGATTACGGCACTCACACCTGTGCTGGCTATCCAGGATCCATTGACCATATCCAACAAGATATGCAAGTAAATCATTWGCGTAATCATCATTTTTACTATCATCAGCCACACTGACAGTATCATCACTATCATTATATTATATATTAGATTAGATTGTCAATCTCTACCTTAAATTTTTATTTTAGTTTTTACATTATATTTAAAGCRCTTAGAGAAAGCTATAGAAGCTCTATATAAGCTTATATACATTATTACTATATTATACATTATTATCATAAATTGTATAATTAATTTGTATAATCATCAATGTCAGCAGCATCTAAARCAGCATCAATATATCTTTAGTGTCATTGATTAGTGTGATTTTAGTATGATTTCATTTACAAATACAACCACATGTTCCAGAATGCCTTTGCCTACTTTCATTTTCAATACAATTAGTCCCCATTGCCAGATTTCAAACCGAGTGGGGACTGGGCAAAATCCCCTAATTGGATAGTCATGACATAAGACTTACATAGAAAGAAAGCCCTTGTTGAGAAATGCAAAGTTCCAAAATTTGATGTAAATCTATTCAATAGTGAACGAGTTACAGCCTTTCACACATTCTAAAATTTCCAAAGAAATGTGTTCTCGCGAATGTGTCCAGGAAATGCTCAAAATGCGGACACATTCATGGCTTCCCATACATTTCTTTGGAAATTTTAGAATATTTGAAAGGCCATAACTAGTTCACTATTGAACTGATTGACGCCAGATTTTGGAATTTTGCATTTCTCAACGTGGGCTTGCTTTCTATGTAAGTCTTAACTCRTGATTATCCAATTAGGGGATTTGCCCAGTCCCCACTCGGCTTGAAATGGAATATTATATTAACCTGAAAAAGAAAAAGCAAGTTCTGTAATAATCGTGGGTGATAACTAATGTCTTTATGCAAATGACACATTTAATCATTTTAGACATTTGCTGACTGGGGAGTAGATTACTTAAAACTTGATGGTTGCTATGCCGACCCAAAGACATTTGACACAGGGTACCCATCTGTTACTAAAGCCCTTAACAACACAAAGCGACCAATTGTATTTTCCTGTAGCTGGCCAGCTTACCAGGTTGGACAAGGAATCCAGGTAAGACTTCATTTGATAATTATCTTTGTGTATGTAATTGAGTTTTTCTTTTTGAGCTTTCCAAATGATCCTCATATTTTCCTTCTTGGGCTTCCTTTGTCTTGACTTGAATGAAAGAAAGGGGACTGAACCTTTTTGCCCCATTCTCACTGTTTTAGACAYAGGAAAACCAAAAAACAGATAGAATCACAAAGATACCTGTACAGGAGGACAGGATTTGTTAACATTTKTTATGGAGTTTGTTGGTGTGTAGGTAGGTAATTATAATATATCATTTTTCCTCATTGAATACCTTTTTTTTCTGTGTATAGCCAGACTATCAGAGAATTGCAAAATACTGTAATTTATGGAGAAATTATGGTGATATTCAGGTAAATACRATAGATTTGATAATATGTACTTATTGACTGAGTGGGAGTGGGAGTGTTTTTGAGGCTGTTTACATTCTTTTGCCATCCAGTATGGCGGATTTTGTACCATGTGACCATTTCATGCAAAAGGTCTATTATATTATCATAATTACATTATGATTGTGGTAATGATGATGATGATAATGATTGTTTTTGTTTCAGGATTCATGGGATAGTGTAACAAGCATTATTGAGTACTATGCTAAACAGCAAGATGTTCTTATTGCTGCTGCAGGGCCTGGGCACTGGAATGATCCTGATGAGGTAGTTAGGGAGGGGAGAGTAAGTATTCTTATTATTGAAAACAATAACTAATTTATATGTGTTTTTATTTCAGCTCATTATTGGTGATTTTGGACTTAGTGAGGATGAATCCAAGGCGCAGTTTGCTATATGGGCGATCATGGCTTCCGTAAGTTTTAATTTGAGGACTTTTTTCACCAACATTTAATGTAAAATCACACCTTACTTCTCCTCTTGCCAGTAAAATGATTGACTCTGTATTTTCCAAAAGCTGGGAAAAATCTCTATAATTCTATCATTATTGAAGTTATTTAATTGTATTTTTTTACAACACTTAACAGCCTTTGATTATATCAGTTGACTTGCGTAATGTTGCACCATGGGCCAAGGAAATCCTTCTTAACAAGTAAGATAGCTTTTTGAATCACATCAAGTGTGACATTTTGAAAGTAATTTTTTTTTTTAGTATTGGAATTGTTAAAGTGTGCTGAAAGAGCCTAAAAGCAAATATTTTAACCTTTTACAAAATGTTGGCATTGTTTTATCATTTTTAGCCTAAATATCGGTGCTTTTATGGTTGGATAACAACATATTAATCCCTGTGAAATGTACTCTACTCTTTTCAATTGATTGTTTTGACAGGGAAGTGATAGCTGTCAATCAAGATAAACTTGGCAAACAAGGACGACGAGTTGTAAATGTAAGTACTTGTACATAGCAGGCATCAACATGATATCTCTTTTAATATTCTCTAATGATATCCATCAAGTGCAGTCATTCAATAATGGGATGATTAGTCATAGCACCCTCTGCCAGAAGGCTCCTGTGTCCACCTTGTGGGTGCATGGGTTGCACCTACCCCCCCCCCCCCCCCCCCCCCACTTTCCCCCAAGACCTTACAGTATTGTCTTTATGCAACTCCCCCCCTCCCACTTCCCCAGAGACCTTACAGTATTGTCTTTAAATTATACTTTTTCCTATTTTGTGTCTCCATTATGACCAGTTTGTTGGTACTTACATTGTACCCCCTGAATAAAATCCCAGAACTGCTCAAGCATGTTATAGCCTGGGAAATGCTTCGCGGGGGATCTAAAATCAATTTATTTTTGTCCTGTAGTCGTTTTTGCTTCAAACCTTACAAAATTTGGTATGGGCATGTATCTTGACAATCTTACGATTTTAGGGAGAAAAATTTTACACTATGGTAATCACGTGACCAGATTCCTGGCTCCCATCAACCCAAAAACTTTGATTTAAAACGGGCAGATGGATGTCACGTGTAGGAAGGACTTAATGGTATATTTTCACTTCTTTCTAAGAGATGTATACGAATCTGCCTTAATACCTGAA